CAGAGAGAGAGAGAGAGAGAGAGAGAGAGAGAGAGAGAGAGAGAGAGAGAAAGAAAACCAGAAGACATAAACAAAAGGCAGCGAGTCTGAGAGATGAACCAACGACAATGTAGACTTGTGGTTTGTAAGGTCCTTGACTTGACCACATACATACATAACGTAGCACGAACCAGTCAGCTGATAAGACCAGATAGCTGTGACGTCACGGCCTGGGAGTCGACAGGCGGCGGAGTCTACATCAGCCCTACCTATGACGTCATTCAGTTCACGGCATTGTTGTGTAACCTCTGACCTAATTCATGTTGTCACTGTTTTTGTTTGGTTGTTTTGTTTTTTGAAGCGGTGTTATTCTAGTTCTGTGTGGAGTTGAGCGTGTTATATAGGAGACCTCGTTTTTAATCCTCTCTATTGGAGGCGGTCGGTGAGCGATATTGCGGATGGTTTGAGGGTGTCAATTGTAGGTTCTATTTCTTTTCTTGTCATCTCTTTTCTTTGCCTTTTTTGTTACTATCTGTCTGTCTGTCTGTCTGTCTATCTTTTCATGTAGGTCTTATTTAGTGTTTTTTTCTCTTTGTTGTTACTGTCTGTCTGTCTGTCTGTCTGTCTGTCTGTCTGTCTGTCTGTCTGTCTGTCTGTCTGTCTGTCTGTCTGTCTTTCCCTCCGTTGTTACTGTCTGTTTGTCTTACCCGTAGCCAGGACAGAATGAAGACATTAAATAGCTGTTATTGCGTCAATGTCTTACTGCTAACGTCACTTGTGTAGAGTTGAAATGCTTGTCTCTACACCAGACAGAATACAGAATAAATGTAGCTTATTGGTCGCTTTTAAGCACTAGGCAAGGGGTTATCCCGAAATATGCTGTTTTGAGAAAGTCGAAAGTAAAGTTTTTGCCCCTTGTTCATTTAAAAAAAAAAGACAAAGAGAGTTTTTTCTATAACCAAACAAATATACGCTCTAATGAAATCAAACTTCTCCTTAGGAAGGGCAGTGCCCACTTTTGGTGTAGTTCAAGATTTCTGGAAACCCCCGAAATCTGGGTTAGCCCGCTTGTCCTTAAAAGCGACCATAAAAGCGTGATGACAGAATGAGTTACTTCTCAGGTTCAGGCCTTAAGGAAATAGATATATCACGCTTTTATAGGTGCAGTTTTTATAATTCATTAGTATGAAATTTAAAAAAAAAGGTTATAGTTGAAGAAACACCAAGAGGTTAGCACAGGATAGAGAAAGGTGGAAAGTGTTTGTCCGTGGCTTATACCCTGGTGTAGGGGGAGAAAGGCAACGAAGATGATGATAAAGTTAAAAAATATGGCATCAATAAGAAATCTACAAATTGACCCTAGTGTCGATTTTTGTTCAACATCCCCCCTCCCTCTCTCTCTCTCT